TATTAGTTAATTATATAGAAATTATTTAACACTGTATCACAACAATGTACCTAAACTTATTCTCATAGAATCCAACCAAATAATGTAAGTCTATAAAAAAAATTACCATAGATTTTTTTTGCATGTAACAATAAATTATGTATTAGGTATAATAACTATTATGTAAACTGATTTTTTATATTGCCTTAAAACCTAATGAATACAAGATGAAATACTACACAAAAAATATGAGGTAGAAATTATTTCAACTAAATATTTATCTACATCACTACAGTAGTGACATTTTAATTAGATACTCTTAAATTTTAAAATAAAACTTAAATTTTTATTTTTATTTACACAATAATGTGTTACATACATATGAATATAATTTTGACGTAAAATACATTCAAGTATTCTGCAATTAATTTAATTAAAAGGTTATTAACTTGTTAAAAAATAATAATTTAAATAACCTTGTACAAATTATTATGTTGATGTAACCAATAAAAATATTTTGAAGCTTTTATTAATAAATAATTTGAAATAGAGGGTCAAACAATTGAGAGGTACCCAAACTATAAATGTTTGAAAAGGGTATACCATTTTTTAACAAATATTTTTTTTGAAGGTGATGATTAATAATTGTAATCTAAATAAATAAATGTCACGTTTTTTAACATGAACGATCTTGCAAACTACATGTCCAATTCACTCTAAATTTAACATAAATATTCAGTTGGGTTAAAGGAAGRTCAATATCAACTTTGAAATCACCCTGAATGCTTTCCTTCATCACCAGGAGGTCTAAAGCTAATGAGACAAGTTTGTTACGACAACACAATATGTATTATTTCTTTTATATACAAAACATATAATATATTATGAATTTTATGAATTTTATTATTTTTGAAAAACACAACACAAACAAAGTATTTAAAGAAATAATAAAAATTACCTACACCTTTGAACTAGGCTTGAGGTGGTGTAGAGAATAACAGTAGGTACATAATAATATGTGATTTAATTTATTAATCAATTAAACAAATAATATTTCCCTCATGAAAAAAAAAYTATTACCCTCATGAAAAAAAGAAACATGAAAATATCAATCAATTAATCTGAATAAATGGAAATCGCAAAACAGGAGGCTGCAAGAAACGTACATTTATGCAACTGCCATAGAATCTATACCATCTGATGGTAAATAGSTACGAGTCAGAGCTGACAACACATATCTACACCATCTTTCTAAGACTCACGCTATTCTACAGCCCAATAAGTTAATAGTATTTCGATTTATATTTATGAGTCGCTTACATACGATCCATAGTGAAATAGTGATCACCTACCATAATATACAAAATTTAAATACCTATAATCGCGGCATTCCGGAAAGTCAGAATACGTGAACGTATATATTATCGTTCTTCTCGCCTCGATAGACTCAAGAGTACATATATACCTATCGCCACCATCCTCAATGCCAACAAACGAAGTAAACAGAAAAACTATGTGAACGCCATAAATTGAAGTACGAGTATTTTAAAGTTTAAAAAGAGAAAAAAATTGTAAAAAATGAGAATAATGAAAAAGTTCGACAAGTGGGTAGGTACCACTCTTTTGCACAGACATACAGTATTTTAGACTGAAGAATCTTTTTTCGTATGCGAATGAACCTTACAATAAGTATAAATTAGATCCAATTTTCTCCCAGGAACTATTCTTAAAGTTGAAAATCAAATCATTTTTATTACTTCAAAAGGCGATGACAGACAGAAAAAACACACATCA